CAAAAGTCAAAAGGCCGGTAGACTTTAAGTGATCGTTAATGTTCCTTATATCCAATATCCAATATTGAAATATTCTTGTATGCGATAAATATCAAATGTGTGCGCCAACGTAAACAAATCTGGAGAAGATCTCTGCCAATGTTGCCTCGAGCTTATCGCGAACCTGGCTTCTTCAATCACAAGACAACACCAACAACAGGCATATACAGCATCGTTAATACCGTCTGTAAACAATAGGAGTCTAATCCGCCCAAATCCGGTCCTCGACAGAAAGTAGTCTCACCCTCAATTGGGTGAGTGAGTGAGTTTAATGTCGCTTTGAACAGCATATCAGTGATATCGTAACGGGAGGAAAGCACGGAATGATGGTGACATGTAAGCCGTTACGCTCTCCGATACACCTAGACACATGATCGTAGTGACCCCCGATAGTGGCGAAAATGAACCAACTGTGCACAGCGAATTGGGACCCTTTCGACGACGAGCCCTATCCTCGACAGCGGATGTACACAACTGAGTGAGTGAGTGAGTGAGTGAGTATGGGTTTATGCCGCTTTAGCACTATTCCAGCAATACCACGGCGGGGGACACCAGAAATGGGCCTCACACATTGTACCCATGTGGGGAATTGCCTTCGGTGTGACGAGCGAACGCTTTAACTGGTGGTATCAGCCAACACAAACCATACCACTCCCCTTTTCCACAGTAATCAGCCTGCACTGGGTTGACAGTAATTATCATACACATGGCATGCCCCAGGAAAGAAACTAGTCTGTCTCACTGTCGCCGAAAGACATTATTTTCCCTTCTGGCCAGCCCTCCCTGCAATGCTAAAGCACTTAATGAAGCAAGTCCAGGTTTCCTCAGGTTCAGAGTCTTTTAACTGATAATCACCCCCGAGTACGAGGAGCCCCAATGCAGATGTATTTGTCTCTGAATCCCTCATCTCACTGTCGCTCAGTTTCAATAAAAAGGTATTATTTGTCATTTTCAAAGTTATATATATTCATATTCTAAGCGTTAATCTAGGACGAAACGGCAGAACTCTGCAGGACGAATTGCGGCGGCCCTCCCCTCTCATACTGAGGATGTAGACTACTAGTGCTATCACCATAGCTACAGTAGTATGGGGGCAACAGCGCGACACCACGCAGTGCACTTTAGTGAGTGAGTGAGTGAGTTAAGATGTAAAGTCACATCGGCAATATTTCAGCCATATCGTGACTAAATCAAGTTATAGATTCATAACAATTAAAGTAAATTGTAAACCCCTGTCAACGAAGAACAGTAAAACAACTAGACTATCACAGATATAAATAGTGCACTTTAGCATAAGATAGTAGAACACAACCAAGCGTTAGGACCCCTATCACGCCTCGTCATCACTACAACCAGCATTCACTGGGATGCAGTTATGGCTCTGCACTTGGACGCCCAAGTCCCGTGTTTATAATGCACCGAAGGCAACAACCACCGAAATATGAACAAATGCAGATGACCTGTATGAGCTGTTTATTCAGCACCAAATTAAGTTTTAGTGATAATATAAGTAGGATTTGGGATCTGCGTTCAGAGCATGGGGCACAGCTTGATGATAGTCACTACGCGGATTTGATGACCATGATATTGTTACTGACCCTGAATACATAAGCTGACTGGAAGTGTTTAGACGAGCGATCGTGCCCAGGGTTTTCACAGTGACATCAGGGAAGAGCAAGGTTGAAGTGAACTCCAGTTCATGTTATGAGAAATGCTTGTACTGTTATTTGTCTACTTGGTCAGATCTCTCGGAAAATGTCCAATTAAACGATTGAAACTGCATCTCGTTAATTAGGTTCAGATGTGCTCTAACGTCAATTATTTATGCTAATGTGGCAATGTGGTGAACGTGCATTAACCACATCGCTAGGGGTCTTCTCAAACATTAGCTTTAGCCAATAATTACTCCCACGTAAATCTGCATGCCCATCATTTGAAATCTTCAGATTTATCTGTTTACATGAACACTGTACAGAGAGGCCAGGTTTTAAGGGAGCATTATGGCCATGTAAATAATACATTTTGTTTCCAATGCAGATGCCTTCTTACAACACGATACATCTAGCAGACAGAATGAATATTGCATAGGAACTCCAAATTGCAAGTCATAAACCAAAGCCGAATTCGTTTCAACACCTTATCCCCAAGAATATCACATTATTTCACACAAACACAAAGCGTATCTGTATTTCAACATCTTTTCCCCAAACCTACCATTTGACACGCCCCCTTTACTAAAGAATCACGAGGTGTCCTGTAAACTACAGATGTTACACGGACCATTCATCTCTGACCGGTACCTATACAAGGTGTGACATCTCCATCATCTGCGACATCACAATCATTTGCGACAGCTGCCGCGACCTCCCATGACCGACATTGTCAGTTTCAGTTCAAAGTTACACACATAAGGTCAGAAACAAGATACATTTGACAATACAATGTCTAAATGTAAATAAAAGCCGTTTTGTGTGTATCACGAAACCCATGGAATCTCAGTGTTGTCACCAATTAAATATAATAAGCGACCTTTACCACTATGAACAACACAGAAACAAGATTACGTTTAATTTCTTCCACAACCCCCAAAAAACCCCAAAAACAAAAACAATAACAAAAACAAACAACAACAACAAAAACAACATTTGCTTGCGGTCACGAATGAAAATAATTATCAGTTTCAGCTACACTCGACAGCAACCATTACATCTGCGTGCTTATAATTCAAATTGTTTTTGTATGATGTTAGTACTTATTTATAACAAAATGCTTGCAACGCACTCCCGCTTGCAACCGAGCCTACCCCAACTTTAAGCACTAACTTCAATATACACGTACTTTGATTACACCAGGAGGTGCACATTCCTAACCAGTAAGAGTGAGTGAGTCAGGTTAGTTTTACGCCGCCTTTAGCCCTATTCCAGCACTATCACGGCGGTGGACACCAGAAATAGGCTTCACATTGTAACCATGTGGGGAATCGAACCCAGGTCTTCGGCGTGAGCTTTAACCACAAGGCTACCCCTCCTAACCTGTAGGAATGTTATCAAATGCATAAACATGTTTAAAAAAATCAATGTCAGTCAAGTGTCAGCGTAAGACTACTTATAAACATCAAGTTTACTACCTTTTTCAAATAAGTGATCATACACTTAAAACGTATAGCACAGCCAGGGGAACTAAACACATAGATTGGCAGATAATGTCTGGAAACATAGGTCAGTCACTTGCTGCTTGTCAAGTGTAAAGTGTTTTTAACGAATGTCAAGGGGTCGTTTCTAGCAATCACATGATGTTACCATTAGCGGTGGCATGTGACCTTCCACTTTGACCAGTGACGAGATGATGTGATATCACCACCTATATCTCGTATCAGCACCTGAGGGAGTAACGTCGTCAGTTTAACGTCATACAGCTAAGGTGGGGATGTCTTTCAGTGACTATCCACGTTGTCAATTAAAACAAATAAGTCCGCTGAGACACAGTAGTAACTCCACACTGCTGATGTTCCGAACCCCCGTAGCTGGAGGACCATTATGTGAATATACGGTGAGTGAGTGAGTATGGGTTTATGCCAGTTTTAGAAATATTCCAGCAATATATTTCGGCGGATTGAATATGAGGACATATTACATCCAACAGTACAAGCTGCCAACCCTGTATCTTCAATCATGTATCAGGACGCGTATCAGCAAATATATCATGTACCATGACATTTGGTATCTCCCGCCTTGTGTTATGACACATGATGTGTCTTGGCCTGTGTGTCATGACAAACGTATCTGCAAGGGTGTCATGTGTCATGATGCAGATAGAATCGACCACCAGGTGTCATACCGTATCGGCCACCACGTGTCATACCGTATCGGCCACCACGTGTCCTAGCGTATATCGCACTTTACAGGCAACCATGCATAGTGGCAGCTAAATCCAAACAATCGGCATATATCGGCCAAAAGTCTGTCATATGTCGACACTCCGTATGTCTCGAACTCACTAACTGCAAGAAGATTCTTTATTGGCACAATGATGGATGACATATTGACACTCCGTATCTCTCGAACTCACTAACTGCAAGAAGAATCTTTATCGGCACAATGGTGGATGATATATCAATACCCCGTATATCTCGAACTCAGACTCAGAAAAGTCTGTATCGGCACTAAGGTCTTTCATATGTGGATACTTCCTATGTCTCGAATGTAGACTCCCTAAAGAATCTGTACTGGAACATATATCGACATATATCAACAATCCGTATTTTACGAATTGAGAACCTCGGCACGCTGTATCGGGCTACGGTCGATCAGATGTTGATACTCCGTATGATATGAGGACGAAATATTAAGAAATATTGAGAAATATTACGTAATGGATGTAGAGACGATCAGTTCACTCACACAATTCAAGGACACGGTGACTACTTGTCGACAGAATCTACGGCTCCGCAAAGTTCACAGTCACGTTCTATTAATCCAGATAGTTTGATACGTTGAAAGTACTTCTACACCAAATAGTTAAAATGGTTCCTAGATATATAGTTCCTCTATCATAGAGCATAAAATAAACATAAGAGGTGTTCCCACCAGTTTCGACAATGTTCATAAAATAATTGCTTGTGATACAGTAGCAATCGTGCAATGTACCAGGCTTTTAGTCGTGAATTCTTATCTATATTGAAACGGTTTTGTTGATTCTGTAACGTAAATGTCAAACAAAGCTGAACCGTTTGATCATTAGTACCAATGATTGTTTTACAGGTGTAACAATATGACCATTTCATAACCTTCGACTCTACTATGAATGCCAATGCTCTCAAATAACGCTAGCAGGACAATTTGAAAAATATGCCCATATATGCTTAAATACTAGTATATAAACTATGGAATTGGTATAATATTTGAATAAATGTCAATCGGATAATTATGAAAAACTTAAATTGAAAAGTAAATATAACTTACCCTGGGAGTGTTCAGTGTTTTGTGTTAGCCAAGTGACAAGAACATCATCAGCAACTGGTGCCGCGACAACAACATCATCAGCAACTGGTGCCGCGCTCACTGCCGTACTGTCACGTCCGCCACACAACTCCCAGCGCTTCCACCAACCCAGTCTGCTGTATCTGTGACTCGTTATGGACAACCTCGGTGGAGGGAATCGATTGTCCAATACGGACCAGCATCACTGCCGGAGTAAACTTTCACTCTAACAGTCTTCTCAGTGAGAGCTTGTGACGAATGGTCAAGGGGATAATCGCACCGACGGTGCCAGTGCGACATCTTTAGTAACACATGACGCCGTCAGTGATACTATGGCAAATAGGTAGACAGATGACCATTCGGGGCAGTGTCGTTGGAATAGTTTCATACTCAAGAGAATGTCTTTCAATTAAAAGTTTTGAAAGGTTTTACAGGCCTATCGTGGTATTTAATAGTGTTCGTGAAGTCCCAGGTGATTCGTGTTTTATGATTAAAGTAGTGTCGAGCAAGGTCAAGGTCCTTCTTGAAGTACCTAAGTACCATTACAAATGATCATGTTTTATCATAACCACGTTTTTCACGCTACATCAACTTAAAGCTCAAGTAACGAGGCCCTTGCTGGCGGAATAGCGTATAAAGACCTTGATTATTAAAAAAAAATTAAAATTACATTTTTACGTGCTTTAGGACGAAACTTGACGGGCTGAGTGTGCCTGAGGCGAAATCCATATCATCATTAGTGTGGATGTGATCGGTTGTTTTCCCTCGCATAGCCACTCTGACAAATACATGCTGTAATCAAAGCACAAAAAGTCTTAAAAAACACGGAAACCTTAGCATGCTGTACTCCGTAGTATCTTTTCATTACTTTTAAACCATTTGTACAGTGCTAATTTGATTGGAAGCACCACACAAACGCTTAAAACTTTCGTGGATGGCGACTAAAACTAAATCATGCACTTAAGAAAAATAAAAAACCAAACATATGTTTTAGTCCACTGAACCTGATTGAAAACTGCTTTCTCAAAAAAGAAATATTAGGCGCCTTTGAAGGGGTTAGAAGGATGATATTTACATGCAATAAATGTATTTTCTTGACGTCCAGTAATCTACATGGTCGGTTGTACGTGTGATAGTAGTGAGGAGCCAGAGGTCGTTGGTCTGAATACAGATTCCACTCTATCACATGATCCCTGGTTCTTCAGAACATACACGTGGTGTCTTTCAGAAGTAAATGTCCCCGACCTACAGCCTCCATGTATTCTGAATTCAGCTGCCACGTGACAATAAGCTGAAACAGTGTTTAAAGCGGGGCTAAACTAGATTCCCTGAGCAATCTCACTGAGATCAGACTTTCTCTGTGCGTGTATCTGACAACTTCACCCAAGGTCGAGCCAACTGAACCACCAGCGAATTTTGACTGCCCAGTCTGACTGAAGGATACGTGGGTTCCTGAGCCAATTATATGCTTTCTTCAGCGAGTCGGATTCATTTCTTTTCATCCTCGATCCGGACATGTCAATTCTGGAAAAGGGTCACTCATCACAAGAAACAATTAGTCCATCATTGGTACCTCCTTTGGTCGTAGCGACCCCGGAGCTCAGACATGACAGAGTTAAACATGTCTTCACAAACAGACACCGATTCGTCGAATTATGTACATACTGAGGTAATCGGGTTTAGTTCATTTTTGACTGGATTTAGAAATTAGATATTCTGGTCTGTATGTATCGCTCACTCCGATAATTTAGATGGTTTGATTGATTAGAGTGTTCCTCTCAAGCGGGAAAGTTGTCAGACATTCACACGAGAGGTGCCATCTGATGGTAATGAATCTGCCTTACGACATTACGATGTACAGGTTAAAGTCAGTAGGGCGCGATGTACGTGATCCGTGATGTCACTAAATCAAGGGGATTATATGGGGACATTTTGATGTTCATGAAAGGACCTCAACAGAAACAGGGGTAGCGTAAGGGGGTGTCGTCAGTCGACCAAGGGGCAGTTTAGAGAGAACATCACGATGAAAATAATATGGTGGCAGTAGACAGGATAGTGTAGAGGGAATATCACGATGTACATACAATGGCGGCAGTAGATCTTAAGTATAGTGCAGGCGGACATCACGATGTACATACAATGGCGGCAGTAGACCTTAAGTATAGTGCAAGCGGACAACACGATGTACATAAACTGAGGGGCAAAAGAAACGTCCCCGATCATTTTTGTATCATAAAATGATACAAACACGTGCAATTCAATGTTGAAATGTTTGATATAATTTTTGAACATATTATGCAGACTGTCATTACAGAACAATTGAAACAATTTGCTGTAAGTAGAGTTTTTGTGACGTTTTTCACAGGAGGTTCAAATGTCCGGTTTTCGATCATGACAACACATGCACATCAGTACTGACAGAGTGTCTTTGAGTGTCCAACTCCTCAGTAGCGAGTGTGTCCACCTCTTGCAGCGATACATGCTGCCACACGACGTCGTGCAGAGTGCACAAGACGTCTGATCACGTGATGTGGGATGCGACGCCATTCTTCCTGTAGAGCTTGAGCCAAAGCGTTTCTTGTCTGTGGGGGATGTTGACGTTGCTTCACCTGACGGCCGAGATGATCCCATAGGTGCTCAATAGGTGATAAATCGGGGATCTTGCTGGCCAAGGGACGCGTTTACGTTGTTGACAACAGCAGTGTGGGGAGTAGCGTTATCCCGCAGGAAACAACACGCCTGTGGAGGAAGGGTAACACGACAGGTTGTTCATCGACGGAAGTTCAAGTCAGTCTTCCTCTCGCCACAAATTTCCACACCATCACAACCGCAGCCAAACGTCTCAACTTCCTGAACGCAAATAGCGTTATCCTGTAGACTCGTACCCGACCATCAGCTTTGTTCAACTGGGAAACAACACTGAAGAGTACCCGGCGCCAGTTCCGCGGCTGCCACTGCCGAACTCTACTGGCCAAGGACGACGTCGGTAACGTCACGACGGTAGACCGTTCTGATACCGAATCGGCGGAACGTCACGATATGTCCATCTACTGGACTGGATGGGTAAGGCTGGTTAAGTGACGTCACAGTCAGGAATCTGTTGCGCAAGTGAAGCACCCGTAAATGGCGGTCTTCCTGAGGGGTGGTTACGGTGGTCTCCCTGTCCTGGTCTGAAGTCCGACCTGTTGTTCTGAAGCGTGTCATCACTGGTGATGGTTTTCTTGCTGCAACCCATGATTCTTGCAACGTGATCGTGAGAAGCACCCAGCTGCAAACATCCCAATAGCTCGTTCTCTGTTCTGCCATGAGCGGACATCACGATGTACATACAATGGCGGCAGTAGACCTTAAGTATAGTGCAGGCGGACATCACGATGTACATACAATGGCGGCAGTAGACCTTAAGTATAGTGCAGGCGGACATCACGATCAGGAGGACATCACGATGTACATACAATGGCGGCAGTAGACTTAAGTATAGTATAGTGCAGGCGGACATCACAATGGATGTAGTGCAGGCGGACATCACGATGTACAATGGCGGCAGTAGACCTTAAGTATAGTGCAGGCGGACATCACGATGTACATACAATGGCGGCAGTAGACCTTATAGTGCAGGCGGATAGTGCAGGAGGACATCACGATGTACATACAATGGCGGCAGTAGACCTTAAGTATAGTGCAGGAGGACATCACGATGTACATACAATGGCGGCAGTAGACCTTAAGTATAGTGCAGGCGGACATCACGATGTACATACAATGGCGGCAGTAGACCTTAAGTATAGTGCAGGCGGACATCACGATGTACATACAATGGCGGCAGTAGACCTTAAGTATAGTGCAGGAGGACATCACGATGTACATACAATGGCGGCAGTAGACCTTAAGTATAGTGCAGGAGGACATCACGATGTACATACAATGGCGGCGGCAGTAGACGGACATCACGATGTACATACAATGGCGCAGTAGACCTTAAGTATAGTGCAGGAGGACATCACGATGTACATACAATGGCGGCAGTAGACCTTAAGTATAGTGCAGGAGGACATCACGATGTACATACAATGGCGGCAGTAGACCTTAAGTATAGTGCAGGCGGACATCACGATGTACATACAATGGCGGCAGTAGACCTTAAGTATAGTGCAGGCGGACATCACGATGTACATACAATGGCGGCAGTAGACCTTAAGTATAGTGCAGGAGGACATCACGGTACATACAATGGCGGCAGTAGAGATGACATCACGATGTACATACAATGGCGGCAGTAGACGGTAGTAGTGCAGGCAGGACATCACGATGTACATACAATGGCGGCAGTAGACCTTAAGTATAGTGCAGGAGGACATCACGATGTACATACAATGGCGGCAGTAGACGGTAAGTATAGTGCAGGAGGACATCACGATGTACATACAATGGCGGCAGTAGACGGTAAGTATAGTGCAGGCGGACATCACGATGTACATACAATGGCGGCAGTAGACCGGTAAGGTAGTAGTGCAGGCGGACATCACGATGTACATACAATGGCGGCAGTAGACCAGTAGACGGTAAGTATAGTAGTGCAGAAGGACATCACGATGTCCATACAAGGCGTCAGTAGACCTTTAAGTATAGTCACGATGTACATACGGTAAGTATATGGTATAGTGCAGGAGGACTTCACGATGGCAGTAGACCTCACGATGTAGTAGACAGTTAGGATAGTGCAGTCGGACATCACGATGTACATGATAATGGCTCAGCCATTTCATAGGAGGTGCAGATCTGGATTCATCCTCGTATATACTAGTAGGACCATAGTGTAGACATCACGATGTACAGTAGACAATAGGATACGAGGACATCACGATGTACGTGAGATAGACAGTTAGATAGTGCAGTCGGACATCACGATGTACGTGATATCTGGCCACCTCCAACGCCTCAACGACGTGGTGGAACGTCACTATCTGTATGGCAACATGCCATCTTTGTCGAACTGCCTCAAGTGTATAACCTCGTGTAGCACTGCGGGGCAGTGTATGAGGACATTACCTCTCACGTATTGTCGTGTTACATGGCTGTACACGTGACCTTCCACCATGAGCTACCAGATCAAAGA